ATCAAGACTGAGAAACCCTAATCTAGACCACCATAAGCCATTACAACTTTATTGTAGAAATGTTTGAGTTTTGCACCTTTGTGTTTCACACAGTCTAGTTATCACTTGCTATGAAAACACCTTGCCTGAAAGTTTACTCTAGAATTCCCCATAGGAGACATTTTCCAAATTGAAAAAGGGGAAATTGTAACATATATGTCTTCGTCTTTTACATCTATACGGTGCTAACAGATACAAACTGCTGTTAGATTAACATGTCAAAATTAATTACAGAACAAATTTTTAAAGTTTAGAGCTATATATATACACACACACACATTTTTTTTCGAGACAGGGTCTTGTTCTCTCCCCTAGGCTGGAGTACAGTGGTGCAATATGGCTAACTGTAACTTCAGCCTCCTGGGCTCAAGGGATCTTCCCACTTAAGCCTCTCTAGCAGCTACAACTAAAGGCGTGCACCACCTGCCCAGCTAATTAAAAAAAAAAATGGTAGAGATGGCATCTCATTATATTGCCCAGGCTGGTCTCAAACTCCTGGGCTCAAGTGATCCTCCCACCTCAGCCTCCCAAAGCACTAGGATTACAGGCACGAGCCACTGTGCCTGGCCTAGAGCTAACATTAAGAGTCTCAGAGACTCTTTTAAAAATGAGAAGTTTATCTAATGCAAATATTTAACAGATCATAACTTTATATTCCAATCTAATGTTCACCAGTAAATTATTGCCCAAAATGCTCTGGCTAAGCAATGAGAAGTCAACCTGGGTGCCCTTTAGTAGTTACTGAAATTTAAGGACACCATCCTGGGAAACACACCCCACTGAAAGTGTTGCTTCAACTATCTTTTACTATCTACTACTGCCTGATGTGCTTTCACTGCAATACTAAGGGCATTTATGGTTTAGTATACTGGTTGCAAGACAAATGAGACAAGGCAAGACTTAGGCTTCAAGCTGTGGAAAAGTCTTGATCTTGGCCAGGCGCATTGGCTCACTGCTGTAATCCCAGCACTTTGGGAGGCCGAGGCAGGAGGATCACGAGGTCAGGAGATTGAGACCATCCTGGCTCTTGATGAAACCGTCTCTATTAAAAACACAAAAATTATCCCAGCACCTGGGGAGGCCGAGGCAGGAGGATGATGAGGTCAGGAGATCGAGACCATCCTGTCTCTCGATGAAACCGTCTCTATTAAAAATACAAAAATTATCCCAGCACTTGGGGAGGCCGAGGCAGGAGGATCACGAGGTCAGGAGATCGAGACCATCCTGACTCTCAATGAAACCGTCTCTACTAAAAATACAAAAATTATCCCAGCACTTTGGGAGGCCGAGGCGGGCATATCACGAGGTCAGGAGATCGAGACCATCCTGGCTAACACGATGAAACCCCATCTCTACTAAAAATACAAAAAATTATCCGGGCGTAGTGGTGGGTGCCTGTAGTCCCAGCTACTCGGGAGGCTGAGGCAGAAGAATGGGGTGAACCCAGGAGGCCGAGCTTGCAGTGAGCTGAGATTGCACCACTGCACTCCAGCCTGCGTGACAGAGCAAGACTCCATCTGAAAAAACAAAAAACAAACAAACAAACAAAACCACAAAAATTAGTTGGGCGTCATGCCGCGTGCCTGTAATCCCAGCTACTCAGGAGGCTGAGGCAGGAGAATAGCTTGAACCAGGGAGTCGGAGGTTGCACTAAGCTGAGATCACACCTCTGCACTCTAGCCTAGCAACAGAGCGAGACTCTGTGTCAAAAAAAAAAAAAAAAAAAGTCTATTGATCTTATTTTTATTATTTAATATTTCAGGTTATAATAAAGAACAGAGAATAACACAATGAATATCTAGTTTCTTCTCAAACAGCTTAAGAAATAAAGCATTACCAATATGATAGAAGCCTCTGTAGAACTCTCAAGATCCCATTCTCTTCCCTCCCCAGAGGTAATCACTCTCCTGAATTAGGTGTTTATCACTCCCCTGCTCGTTTTTATTTTCATACTACATGTGTAATCTGTAAGTAATATATGGTTTTGCTATACTTGTTTTAAAACTTATACAAATGGTATCAAACATATCTTCCCCCGAGAAACCCAAAAACGTATCTTCTACAACTTCCTATTTGTTATTAATAATTTCCTGCACTTAATAACTATAGGAATCAAGAGACGAAGCGAAAGTAATTGCTGAATTAGTCAGTTTTTCTCTCTTTAAAGAGAGAAATCTGTGATTGGGTTGAATTTGTCCCCAAATGCACCTGCCTACAGTGCTGTGCCCGTTTCTACTACATGCCAAAGAAACTGGTAACTGAAATTCACACCCGTACAGCCAAAGACAGGAGAGTTCACTAATATCCACAAGCCCAAAGTCCAGTTCTACCATATGAAATCTAGTGGTCTAAAAAGTTTTCCTCAGGCTTCTATGAAAGGGTGGTAACTGAATACAGGCAGTGAATTCACTGCAACTATTTTTACACAGAATTCACTATGCTCACTTCGTTTGCTTTCCAAGGAATATTAATAGCAGTAATAGAAACCAGATTTGACCAGTCTATTTTCAGATATAAAACATCACAAGTTTGCTAAAGCAGATCACCGAAAACATAAAAGCCCTTATTTATAAGTGAGTGAAAGAAAATAATGGCTACATATTTTTATTCCATTTCAGAAGGTAAGTAGAGGAGTGAAAGAGATAAGAGTAAAAACATTAGCTGAGTTTTAATAGTTCTTCTAAGGATTCAAACATGCTGGTCTCAGAATGGTACATTAGAGTCAGATTTAAACCAGGACGCTCCCCTAAGGGAGACAGCTGACATGATTATTGCCCTCTTCAGAGATACACAGTCAAGTCTGCTGACATTTTTTACCAGGCTAGTTCAGCAGCTGTTACAGAGAAAGCAGATATCTAGTGCTCAGAAGATTCATGGAGGGATGGACTGTAAATGCAGGGTGAGAGTACCTCAAAGTACACTGCTGATTAGGCCTAACAAATGGCTTGCTCAGGAAAAAAGGTGAACACTAAACGCATTACCAAAGGAAAAAAAATAGGTTTGTGTAGTATTAAGAATAATCTACAGATCAAGTCTAGAAAATTTTTTATCTTTGTGTGTGTGTGTGTGTGTGTGTGTGTGTGTGTGTGTGATGGAGTTTTGCTCTTGTTGTCCAGGTTGGAGTGCAGTGGCGTGATCTCGGCTCACTGCAACCTCCACCTCCCAGGTTCAAGTGATTCTCCTGCCTCAGCCTCCCAAATAGCTGTGATTACAGGCATGTGCCACCATGCCTGGCTAATTTTGTATTTTTAGTAGAGACGAGGTTTCTCCATTTTGGCCAGGCTGGTCTCAAACTCCTGACCTCAGGTGATCCACCCACCTCACAGGTGTGAGCCGCCATGCGAAAAGTCTTTTATCTTTAAGAATAAAAGATGTGGCCGGGTGTGGTGGCCCACGCCTGTAATCCCAGCATTTTGGGAGACTGAAGCATGTGGATCACCTGAGGTCCGGAGTTCAAGACCAGCCTGGCTAACAGGAGAAACCCCGTCTCTACTAAAAATACAAAATTAGGCC